AGTTTTTTTATATATTTTACTAACTTAGATTCTTATAGTAAAGTAGGTAGTTAGTATTTCTTAGTAGCTACTATATATAATATTATTTTATTTTAGTACTAGTATATTAATATTAAAATCTTAATACTAATCTTTTTTATAGCTATATAGTAGAAAAGTTAACCTTTTAAACTTTATAAATTAATTACTATAATAGCTTTTATAAGAGCTGTTATAGTAGTACAGATATCACGTGTTAAAAATAGTGGGTTGATATTTTGGGTGGGGCAGATAGTGTTGCATTGGCTGACTGTTGCATTGGGTGAGCACGGACAGTAGCTTCAAACCGGAACATCTTCTCGGCTCGAATGCTCCCTGGCTCTTAAACATATGGACTTCCTAATATTCCTACCAGCCAGAGCAGGAAAGGCTACGTGGGCTTGTGCGACTCAAGAATAACCTAAAATCTCACAGTCACCGAGCCGTAGCCTTACGCCTGATGCTTGACGTCTAATGCCTGATATCTGATGTTCTCGCCCCCACACTCGTTTGGATGTTAGAAACATGGTCAAAAGAGACGTATTACAAAAACAGATAATATGATTATCTTCCTGTATGTTAACAGTACATGATTAACGCATTTAACCATTTTATAATGGCTTCGAATCATCCGTTTCCAGCTGGCCGTACGTCAAAGGGTTATTCTGGGGACTACAAAGATGATGACTCTGTGTCATCATTTAGAGGAGAAGGTAATAGCAACAAGTATGATATGGATTTTGGTTCGTGACGAAATTCAAGTATGCGGCGTGGTGTCTACAACATCGTATCGAGCTGTCCTGATGCAGTGGAAGTGTTGAAGGATGTACTGGCTTGCGAACGGAAAATCCCTGCATAACCTGCAAGAAGATACCATTCGTGGAGTGCCTACCAAGCAATGACGGAAAGGGTGGTGAGGCAAAACACCGCCCCAGCCGAGCATAGGATGCTTTTATATTCTACATGAGCCTCTCACGCACCCTAAAGAACTGCACGTTTTGCAGATTCTACAACCTCCTTTCTGGAGCATCTGGGGGTTAGAATACGATTTACTGAAGGTATAACATATTCAAAATCATCTACCGGACAGCGAGAAACACAAAGACATGAGTGGCTTCTCAGATTGAAACAAGAGAGATACGTATTGGAAACGAGAATAGGTAGGAGGCGCTGGGCAGTGGCCATTCAGATACGCTGTCGACCGACAGCAAGCTGCTATTTTGACGCTGCAGCCAGTGAAAACGATCTTTCTAGAGGCGAAAGACCGCGACATCAACATCAAGAGCCTCAACATAAGCGATCTTAAGGATATGTATAAGTCCAGAGACACGGTCGCCGATACGATGGCTGCAGCTAACGTAAGCCTCGCGATTATCAATCTCATCACGAACCATAAAAGAGAAAACTTGCAGAAGGGAATGGCGGGCGCTCAGTGGATGATGTGGCAACTAGCACTACATCAACTTCAGAGTGGGATGAGACCGCCATAGTTCGACTCGTTGACGTGTGTAAGGTGTGGTTTACGGAGATGAACTTCTCTGACGCGATCCGCTTACACCTCGATCTGATATGTGTAGCTTTGGGCTACAAGTGGGGAATTCTGCCACTACTGAAGGGCTGGAGAGGGCACAAAGCCAATTACGGACGGTCTTACTACCACAATAAGAAAATAGGTAAAGGCAACATTGACTCACCTAACCTCATGTAAACACCTGACTCCAACTAAAAAAGTCGCGTTGTCAAAAGCACGTAGCCTCAAGGTTGACGGTACGCATATCCCCAAAACCATCAAACACGCCATCGAGGTCGTCCAAGCCATCTGCGAAAGATGCATCGGGGTTGATCAACTCTGCGTTCCTCAAGAGGGTTAAGACAGCATGAACGCTGATGAAGGGTTGGGAAGAGTCTATGGCCATCTCAGCCGTGGGAAACAGCTCATGCAAGACAGGATCACCAAAAATACCCGAACGGTGCTGCCCACGCACTTGGAGCTCAACTATGAAGCTTGGAAGGAGCGGAAGCGGTATTTTCGAGAGAAACCACTGTTCAGAAGGATGCTAATCTTTGCACGTGGATTTGCAGTATAGCATTGCCAAGGAGGAACATGGAGGGAGGGTGTGAATGCCCTGGACGGAGACAAGTCGTTGATCTCGTTTCCATGGCTTAGACTCACACTCCTGCCATCCCCTAGGCATGATATATCGCCAGCAGGTTGAAGATTACATGAGGGGATGGGGGTGTGGGACTGACGCGACTGACGTCGATGCACTATTATATTGAGGCAGTAGAAGATCTGGTTAGAAGGACGACTGGGTAGTAGGGCCATAGGGAAGGGTTGCGACATCCTTAATGCGTTTGATGGTCCCACAAACATTGTCGGTGGCCCAGGGTTTCTCAACTCACCGTTCCGAAACGGATTTCCATGCCACTTCCTAGATGTTGCACTCTTATGGCGATCAGATGAGCCTATGCGCCGCCACCAAAGCGACTCCGACAGGTGATCTCCGCCAAGTTGGACGTGGGCAGGCTGGGAATCTGCATAGGACGCATTGGGATCTGGCATCAAAGGCGCACGAGTTAGTCATGACCAACCCTTTGACCTCTTGGTCTTGAAGTCTGGGATCGTTCAACGATATCATAGGTGTGGTGAAGAGTGCATTCGTCCTCGTAAAAGAACATTGTACAGTGTCCAGGGAAGACATGATGGTTTCTCCCTGCAAGAACCGGGGCTCTCTGGCATACCCAACACGAGCCCTAGAAGATTCAGAGATTGGGACTTAGCGGATGCCAGATCAGCACCAAAACCGAAACTGGATATAGCACTTCACGAGTTGGAAGAGCGACATCTTATCTTACACACGGAGTGAATGATCACCGATTTAGGCGGCGATTGCTAGAAAGTCTGGACATCGACCAAACGCGTTGGTGACGAGCATTGCATCGTCGGTTTTTACGACACTGAACCCACTGAAACAGGATCGAAAGCTGAGGAAATAGACTAACCAGATCTGCAGATCGAAACAGTCGTGTCTTGAGAGCACTGGATCAACACTGTAACGTATCTTAGAGCCGGTACCGTGAAGATCGATACTGAAGATTGCCGTAGAGTACTTAGGTCTGGGAGCGCATTACCCGACTAGCATTCGCTCACCATACAGCAAAGCTTTCCATACAGTTTTCAGTACTGGGAGATTTCCAAAAATCATTGGCTGGAGGGCACGTGGAGAGTGCGGTAAATGAGGAGACCAGAGCCCAAGCCGCATTCAAACCATAACGATGCAGCATCTTCTACGCTAATACGACGAGAAGAACCGCATACTAGATTTTAACAAGATACGCGCTTTGACTGCACCAGATCGAGGGTCGATGGCCACGTTGATGCCCCAAAGCCACCTGAGTAATATCAGCTTCCTTTTTAATTCAAAGAAGTCAATACGTCGTCAGGCGCTTCCTGATGCGCCGTCTCCATCTGGCGGCGAGTAGTGGTCCGCGTGCTGAAAGATCTCCATCGCCAGAAAAACAATTGTGCTTATTGTTGTCGCAAACTGACTCCAGCCACATCTCTGACCAAGACGTTCCGACCCTGCTCAAACACATACGTTAGTGCATTGTGGTGCTCGATGTTGGGGTGATTGGTGCACGGTCGAGGCAGGTGGGCGTAAGACTCGAAGCGACACGCGGGATTAGTCATGAGTAGGCTGAAAGGTGGAAAGGCCATGTTTGACTCGTTCACTATTTACACCTAGATCTCGCTACTATATGTGCTGTCGTGGTCGTCGTGTCAAAGAATGGCACACACACACATGGAAGGTCACACGCTGCAGCAGCTTACTATCTCTTAGAGCAACTGGGGCGAAGAGAATACAACATAGATCCACGTTTTAGCATCAAATCAGCGTACATGTGCTTAGGGAATGGAAGAACTAATTTTAAATCCATGACTCATAGAGGCATTGGAAACCCATTACGCCTAACCATCCACTGCCAATCGCCAGCAAGCGCCAATTGCGCCCGGTATATCCCGTCCTTCTCCAACTGCTCGCTCCCTCGAAGACTCCTCCGAGTCAGAACATCCTCATGGTCTGCATCGATAAAGTACGGTCGGTCGACTTCACACGTTACATGCCTCTCATTCGGCACTATTCCACGATGAAGATAATCTCTTATATAATTTGCCGCGCAAATTGACACGACAGAGACACTGCAATGCCCGACTCCCTTGATCTCCACCAAGCGCGAGTCTTGAAAGACTTGTTGAGCGTTTTTTGCGGATGTCAGGGGGCAAATAGGATCGATTGTCATGGATACGAGGAGCATGGGCTCTGCCGTCGCAACTGTTGATTTGGGCGTAAATTCCCTTGTTTTGGGCACGATCCATTGCTGTTTGGTGTAGTAGTCAAGATTCTCGCTCGGCCCAAACATGCTGATGTTAACGAATGAAACTACGGTTCCTTCGAGAAACTCTTTGCGGTCCTGCGTCCAGTAGTTTGGGCCGCTGTGGGCGTCGTTGTTAAAGACAAAGTCGCTCGAGTCGTCGCCCATGTCGAATGCTTCGTGCTGGGCGTAGGCTAACCAGGCGTCGGTGGCATTACCGTTAATCAATTTTGCCAGGTTTTTTGTGAGTGCATACCACTTCAGCGGCCTATATACTGAAGAGAGTAGTATTAGTATGGGATGTAATTGTGGTCTGCCCTAGCTTTCACTTACGAGCGGGAAGAATGCCGTTGAAGAAGATGTTCTCATATGTGAGTTGACCCCATGCCGTATTGTTCACATACACGCTCATAGGCTGCTCTTTAAGTCGCTCTCCGAGGTCCATCACTACCTTGTGCAAATCTTCAGCGCTATCTCCGAACGATGACAGAGCGCAATTTTCTTTTTCCTTGATGCATTGGCGAAATATGCCCATAAAAGCGTTTTCAGTATCGGTGTAGTGGATGCTATCGAAATCGCGGCCGTACCAATGGAAGGAATTGGACACTCCATCGATGATGATCCGCTTCGATCGCTTGGGAAACAGTTGCGCATACGTCTGGCCCAGAGTTGTACCGTAGCTAGAGGTTTGTCTTAGTCGGAGCACATTGAGACGAATTCATGACGCGAACCTGAAACCCCAATAATACATATCTTGCTGTCCGACTGCATCCAAGATACTGTTCATATCGGCGGCGGTTTGAGGGGTAGTAATGTAACCACCCAACTCTCCCATAGTATCTTTGCAAGCTCGAACGAAACCCTTCGCCCAGGCATACATTTCTGCACTGTCATGCACAGCCTCCTTGCTGCGTACTGCACTCAACTTCGCCTTTATCTCGTTGTCAGGATAGCATAGTGCACGAGGCACAGAACCACCAACCCCCCGTGGATCAAAAGAGACAATGTGCAAGCCATCGCCAACAACTCCTCTAAGCTGCGTCCCACGCCGGGTTATTAATCGTAAACCACTGCCCCCTGGCCCTCCAGGGTTGAGCAAGAGATTCTGTGTCGCGTGCTCTCCACCGCGTAGACGAATGACAGGAATGCGGAACGTCTTATCCTTACTCTTGGACGTATCAAAATGATCCATTGGAACGGTAAGGTTGAAACATTCGAGTGGGTGCCCGTCGACACTGCCACACGGCTGCCACGACACCTTCTCACCTGGATACTGGTGTCCAGAACCTCCATTGCTTGAATCCCAACTCCGGCGTTGAGATAAAATGCCAAATACGGCGCCCATCCACATCTGCCCCGGAGAGTGAGCTTGCAAATAGATTTCAAAGTATTAGTATGAAAGAGCACTCACCACGAAACATGACGCTATGACACTGAAAATGATTCCCTTCCATCGACCCGACCGAGGAGCTGTTGGGGGCTTGAGATTCTCACTGTCGCCGAGTCGTTGGTAGTTAGGCGCCATTGCGTCGGTGAATGCAAAAATCGGGCAGTCATGCAACTCCAACGATGCCACGTCGAGCCTAATCGTGAAAGAGAATACGCAACATTCATTTCGACCATATTTCACAAGCTTTAACTGTTTCTAGAGCGGTTATCACAAAAGGCCAAGGACAACTGCAACCTACGTTACTAGCCCTACTCTATCGGCCCGAGGGACGTGCACATGGGCGCGAGCTTAGAGTCATCCTCGAGCTGACAGTACTGGTAGCAACGAATTAGCCGCCAAAAAAGAAAACCCCTCCCACATGCTTAACGTGTTTCACCACCGAGCGGCCCACCCCACCGAGCGGCCCACCTTAAAACCTCATTAAAATCACGAAATAACAGGGGTATCTATCTCTATAACTACTAATTAATAAAGTTTTAAAATTTTATAGCTTAATATTAATACTATAATAATTGAAATACTAAAGTCTTAAAGACTTCACTCAAATGTTTAAGAAGTAAAGTAAGAAAAATTAGATTCTAGAGATTATTTTAGCGTAGTTTTCTATAGCTTTATTACTACTTGATAGAATTATTTAGAAATCTATAAAAGCATTCTACTAATACTAAATAAATGACTATTAAATTTTTAGACTTTATTAATTAGGAGTCATAGAGATAGATACCCCTGTTATTTCGTGATTTTGGTGAGGTTTTAAGGTGGGCCGCTCGGTGGGGTGGGCCGCTCGGTGGTGAAACACGTTACCTTGGATTTTGTTTTACTCCGCTGCAGCAAAAGTATGACTTGTTCACGTGCATGCAAACACAGTCAGCCATATTCCCCGGGATAAACAGCAAGGCGGCCGTAAGCGTGCGGTGTGGCATTTGCCGCCTGGCAGATCCCTCCCCTCCTCGCATTGACAATCTTAACCCCCTGTTGTTGCAAAGGGAAAAATAAACGAATTTGAGTTTGTGTTTTTCGCTACGGACTTGAGTCGGATGTCCGAAAGCCCCAGGGAGGGGGCCTTCCAGTCATACTAAAGTCGATCCTAACACTAGGCGTGCAAGCTTCCTGGCTAGCTGCGTTGCCGTTATGCTGCATGGTACGATTTCTGGGACGTGTAGACGGCGCGCTAAAATGGTGAATAAGCTCCTCGCTCTACCTAACTTGCTATAGAGACATTCTTCGTAATCGCAATAAGCGCGACGCTCTATAGAGCGGGAACCGGGCTCTCCAGGATGTAGCTCTTACTCTCTACACCGACCGGTATCGCCCCATTGCTAGCGGCCTGCATGCACGAATGCCGCTACGATGTAGCAAAGCGGTGGAGGGACAGCGGAATGGGTGCTCTTTTGGACATCAAACGTTCCTTTACCACGATACGAAGAAATTACTAAGATTAAGAGCCTAAACCCATCTCTCTCCAACAACTAAAATCAACTTCCGCGCTTTTAGAACTCGTTTCGTAGATTGTTTCTAAAGTTCTTCAAGTATCTAATCACTAAGGGGAAGCTTTTAAGTTTACGCACTGACCAAGCTTTGTTAATTTTTTCGTATCCAATTACTACATGATTTCGCAGTAAATTAGTATATCTAGCTATTATAGCGGACCGTATAGCCAAAATGACCGTCGTCGCACTAGGAAGATATACAGTGGGTCCGTTTAACAATGAGGTTGCATCTCTAGCTCTTTCTCTTGCGCTGACTTTCCCCTTTTTTGTATGCTATCGCATCAGGAGACCCCATCTCCATGTTTGATAGAAGCCAAGGTCAGACCTTACGCAGGAATACTTGTTGGCTCTCCCACCGATGTTAGACAGGCTCAGAACCACGAGACACTACAGCTTCGAAGATAGACGTTTGAATTAACCAATTCTTCAACTGAGAGTAAGGCGCCATAAACAATGAAGTCTAGGGTTAGTCTGTACACACTATCATAAGGGACGAGTGAATTTCCTAAGAACTTCCATCGCAAGGGCGACACAGCGACAGCATTATGCGCTTAATTGATCAACGTGTTGAATTTCGACATCTAGCAGTGTGGCGTTCGCGGCCCCAAAGCTATCACGGATAGCTAGGCTCGTTTGTCTTGGCTGTACTGTCTCATTGGTAGTGTCATTGGTTTGGACTTGAAACGCCGAGACTATCCAATAGTACACTGATTGCACACACTGTGGCTGCGGTCCGGTCTGCGTTTCCTTGGGGTTGAACGGACATGCCAAGCACGTTGAGTAGACTTGAAAGGTTTGGTAACTGTGCAGAAAGGCTAAGCCTAAGTATGGGTTATTTGCATAGGTATTACTCTCTTACCTTGTCTTGAAACCGGCGTCTCTGTTCTGCCAGATTCCCCTCCGTGTTCTTGCCGTTTCCGTAAAGCTTGACGAATCGAGAGAACTCTTCGTCCAGGATCTCCTCTGCTGATCGCAGAACCTCATCACGATAACGTTGTACCTCCCACTCCGTCCATTTGTCTCTAGAGTCTTCGTCAATCGCGCGCAGGAGATCGACTAGACCTCGCCGACGGGATAGCTGACGTCTATGCTGAAGGGCAGGTCGATGTTGAAGATCCGCAGTGTAGTATTGTGTTGCGAGTTCATCGATGCTGTCAAAACCCAGCTCGCGAATATTCTCAATCGCCTTCTCGATTCGTGTGGCAACACATCTTAATGAGTCAGTGCTACTGTTGTCCTTTCGTGAATCTTTGTTGTTCATCTGAGCCGTTGGCGAGTCCAACGATCGATCTTCCGTCGATGATTCGCGTCGGCTGTCTTGAGTCGAGCTATTCGAATTCCGACCATAGTGGAAATCGAAAATGGCTGACAAGGGCGTGTTGAAGTAATCTGCCCGTTGCTTTTGCGAAACAATACCTCGACTCGAACCGGCCGTGTCGCTGCATGAATTGGAACGATAGCTCTGAGGTGTCCCTTTAGCCGCAGTAGTAGTGTCAACCAAGCTTTGTTCTATGAAGTTGAGATTTCCTAGATTCGAAGGTTTGCTGTTTCGAGGTACTTCTTGGTCACTGCCGGCCGACCAAGGCATAGCATCCGGTCTGCGCAAAAGGCTGCCATCGCCACTCTGGACCATCTGAGCTGCAGGGTGCCGAGAAAGAGATGTAGTATTAGAGGCCATATTCAAGTCGACATCGTTCAGGGTCGCTGACATGAACGTATCAGATACTCCATCCGATGAATGGCCAGATGTACAGGGGAATGGGCCGTTCAATACAAGCTCTGGAGGGTAGGACCACAAGTTCATTTCGTCTGGGAATTCTTGTTGTCCAGTCAGCTGTTCTAGTATCTTGAGCTTTTCCCCTACGATTCGTCCTTAACTATGATTACTGAAAGCTCATGACGGGGAATGGAGAAGAAACGAACGTACGATGTTTCCGTTGAGCTACTCGATTCTGTATGCGCTTTCGCAATGTCTGATCGGAGATGTGGTGCCAATCATCATCATCATCGTTGGCTGCGGTTCTTGAACTTCTCTTTCGTGGCATGCTGATGGTTCTCGACGGTGCTTCCTTGATTGACAATGCTGCTGTAGCGACAAAGACACTCAAGTAGCCTCCAGCATGGACCATGCGCCTTGGCCTAACCAGAGCCAGGGTATGCTTACAGCTGGCAACAGTATTGCGCAACGCATCGCTGATTCGGTATAGCAAGAACGATCGCCGGACCTGTTTGGCGCAATAAGGGTAAAGCCTATCTCTAAGTGGCCCATGCTTGTATTAGCTTCGGTGTGGACGTAGTTGGAATGCTGATAGTTAGACCGCCTGAAACAGAACTGATGAATTTGGCAAGTGGTACGGAGGTGCCTGTAAGGGGCTGCGCTCCGGGGAGCAATCGCGAGGTATACAAGAGGTTGTATTCGATAAGGAGCTATCTACTCTGCTTACGTGGTGTTTATT